TGAAGATCTAGAAAAGGCCTTGGAGCTCACTGGTTTAAAAGTGTTTGGCAATGAAATTAAACTTGAAAAACCAAAAGGAAGAGATAGTAAGAAAGGTACGTAAAAGGGTCTGGTTGACTTAGGAGGTATACTTTGACCCTTCTCCCTGGTGAACTGATGAGATTGACATGGGTAAGGTGCATATGAGAAGTCGTGACAAGTTCAATTCTTGGGGTGTACATACAGCTGCCTTCTACTTTATGAATTCGAAAAGGGAATATAGTCTTTTAGGTTTTCTGAACGAGAGGGTCTTGGTCTTTGACAGTCCTGAAAGCTCACTAGATAATCAGACTACTATTAATAGGAGTGTGGAGTAATCCATATTCTTGATATCTTAGAGATGGGAGCTAAATCAAAATAAACCATTCATATACACCTTAATACATGTAACTGTGGGGAACTTTATACAGTGTTTTTAGTGGGCTTGCATTTTGACAGGCTAATGGGTCAGATGTCATCCTCTATCTTTGTTAATGTCATTGCTCAAAAATTTTTAGATTGGTACTTAGAGGTCTTTCAGTCATGAGATTCGACTTTCATTAGCAATGGGATTGGGTAAACAAGGTTCTTTTATTAAACTGTATTGGGCTCCTAATTACCCTTGTGCCTTTGCTCTTTTCTGTATTAGCACATGTTAAATGTATTGGGTAGGGTTGGTTCTTTTTTTTCTTTCCCCTGCATGTTTCTATATATGTAGAGGGAGGGCATCTTTGCCTGGTGTGAGTGCTAAGAATTAAACATGGGTCCTTCCTGCAAAGTGCTCTTAGCCATTGAGCCAACTCTCCATCCCTTATCCCTTCATTCTTTGTGTAGAACCTTGTCCTTTATAGGAGCTATTTGCTTTATTCTCTTGTAACTTGCTAAATGATATACTTGAATTTCTTTTAATCTAGTTCGAGCTGCAAGAACACTTTTAGCAAAGAACCTTTCTTTCAACATCACTGAGGATGAATTAAAAGAAGTGTTTGAAGATGCCCTGGAGATCA